GCATGTCTTACAACTTGCTTTTATATCATAACAGAGCCCATCTCATTATCAGGCATTCTTATCTCCACAGAGCATAGTTTAATGCACAAATGTATGTCCAAAGAAAAACACAAATCAAAAGGTTCATTAAAACTTTGCTGGTTTGAGAAGTGAACACAATCCACCTTTAAGAGTATTTACTTCCAACCACAGAGAATTTCAGTATGATCCAAAATCCATTTTTAAAGTAGACTCACTCATCTTTCATGTAAAAGTGGTTTGAACTCATTCTAACATAATTTAGTTAGTGACCAATCTTACACTAAGACATGTAACAGTTTTGGAAAAGTTCCTGCATTCATAACAGAGATATCTTCATAGAAAAAGGGGCATAATTCCAAATAGTAGGGAATTTCATTTTGAATCCTAAGCTATATTTAAAATAGACTCACTCATTTTTCATTTAAAAGTGGTTTGAGTTCATTCTGACATAATTTTATTAGTAAACTGTTCAATAAAAAAACATATAAAGTTTATGGATTTCTTTTCACAATTCTGGCATGTTCTAGCAAATAACTCATAACTTTCAAATCAAAAGAAATATTGACATGGGATCTTTTTCCTTAAAATAGACTCAAAGAGGTACCTCGCCATAAAATTTCATAATCAACAGAGGTGATTTCAGTGCTTAAACAATTACTCAAATGAGAGTCACAATATTGGAAAAACAAATGCATACTTAACAAAATTTCTGAAGCATCTTCCCACATTCATATCCATATCCCTATTCAATTTTCATGCTTTAACAAATGAGTTGAACATGCATCAAACAAGGCATAAAACAAGGGATCTTAGATCCACTTACTTGCACCAAAAGACTCCAAGTTTCTCCCCACACAGGCCAAGCTTCCAAGAATAGTTTCAAGCTTGAGGTTCTAAGTATTTGAAAAGGAGGTCGTGGGTGAGAGAGAGAAAAATTCTTGAGAGGGGTGTGAAGGGAGGTACTTATAAGCAAAGAGGGGGAGGCAACAAGTAGCTGGCATGTAAGGGGCACACAAGTGACATACAATAGCAGACATGTGGCATAAAAGTGCCACATGCCACTCATGAAAGAGCAAGCATCGAAGTTCCCTGGACGGCCTTATACATTTACTCTCGGCAGCAACACTCACGACAGTGTTATGCTTGGCGGCATCGCTCACGATAGTAATGCGCATGGTGGCTTCCTCCTTAGAAGCAATGCTCATAGCAGTAACACACATAGTAGCAACGTGCACGACGGCTTCCTCCTTAGTAGCGACGTTCATGGCAGTAATGCCCACGATGGTGTCACGCACGACAGTGACGTGCACCACGGTATCACGCACAGCTGTGTCATGCACGACGGTATCGCGCACGGCAGTGATGCGCACGATGGCTTCCTCATCATGCACGGCGACTTCCTCGTCACCCACGATGGCTTCCTCATCACTCACAGTGGCTTCCTCGTCACGCACTGCGGGTTCTTACATCGTCCCCCCTCAAAAGGATTTTGTCCCTAAAATCATACTTCTATTAATCGAACAATTAGGGGTACTTATCCCAGATCTCATCTTCCCATTCCCAAGTCAACTCTTCTCATAAATATTATTGCCATAAAACATGGACCAAAGGGATCTCCTTATTACGCAATACATGCACCCTTCTATCTAGGATCTCAATTGGTTGCTCGATGAAGGTCAGGTCTTCTTTGATCGGAATCGGTTCATACCTCATAATATGGGACGGGTCGAGTTGGTACTTCCTTAATAGAGATACATGAAAGATATTGTGGATGCTTGCTAACTCGGGTGGTAGGGCAAGTCGATATGCCACGCCTCTTACTTTTTTCAGAATTTCAAAAGGTCTGATATAACGTAGGCTCAGCTTCCCTTTCTTGCTGAATCTCACAATGTCTTTAGTTGGCGATACATTCAAGAAAACCAAATAACCCATCTCAAACTCGAGGTCTCTTCTTCGGTTTTCAGCGTAACTCTTCTGTCAACTCTGAGTTGTCCTAAGCCTCTCTCGAATCAAAGAAATCTTTCTGAGGTCATCTGGATAATATTTGGCCATAAAGGCCTTCTTTCACCAATCTCATCCCAACAAATGGGTGACCTGCCCTTTCTTCCATACAGGGCCTCAAAAGGCACCATATGAATACTGGCTTTGAAGCTGCTGTTATAGCCAAATTCAATCAAAGGTAAATGATCATCCCGGTTTCCCTTAAAATTAAAGACACGAGCCCTTAACATATCTTCCAATGTCTGAATGGTTCTCTCCGATTGTCCATCAGTCTGGGGGTGGAAGGTAGGGCTAAAAGTAAGTCTCGTCCTCAAAGCTGATTGCAAACTAGCCCAAAATCTAGAGGTAAATCTAATGTCCCTAGCGGACATGATGCTGATTGGTATTCCATGCAACCTCACAATCTCCTTGATGTATAGTTGGGCTAGTTTAAGGTTTAGGTCATGCGGATCGCCAAGAAGTAGGCAGCTTTGGTCAGCTGGTCCACAATGACCCAAATACTATCATGCTCCAAACTCGTTCTAAGCAAATTAGAGACAAAGTCCATAGCAATGTGCTCACGAGTAATGGCTGCAACAATCCAATGGGTTTCTGATGCTCAGCTTTCACTTGCTGGCAAGTTAAGTACTTAGAAACAAACAATGCAACTTCCCTTTTCATGTCATTCCACCAGAAAGTTTTTTTCATGTCTTGATTCATCTTAGTTCTCGCGGGATGTATAACATAACAAGAGCGGTGAGCTTCCTCCAAAATAGCTCTCTTCACATCATCATCATTTGCGATACAAACCCGATTTTTGAATCTCAACAAGTCATCACTGCTCATAAAAAAAATCGTCTTTCCTTCCCAGCTTCATCTCTTCCAAAATTTTCATGAGCTGGGGATCCTTCTTTTGTGCCAACCGGATCTGTTGAAAAAGCTGGGGCTCTGTCCTTATGTATGCTGTCATACTTACCCTACCACCAAGGGGCAGAGTTGGGTGTCATCCCACTACATCCTCTAACAACTTCATCTCTCATACCATCAGATGAGCCACCGATATTACGGGCTTTCTGGTTAAAGCATCTGCTACCATATTAGTTTTGTCGGGGTGATATTGGATGGTACCGTCATAATCGTTCAATAGGTCCATCCATCTCCTTTGTCTCATGTTCAACTCCTTCTGGGAAAATAGGTACTTGAAGCTTTTATGGTCTGTAAATACCTTAAACTGAGCTCCATTGAGGTAGAGTTTCCAGATTTTCATGGTGAATATTATAGCCGCAAGCTCCCGATCGTGGGTTCGATAATTGTGTTCATACGACTTTAACTGTTTGGAGGCATATGCGATGATATTCCCTCGCCGAATAAGCACACATCCGATCCCTTTATGAGAGGCAACGATGTAAACTGCAAAGTCCTCATTTCCTTCTGGCAACGTCAGTTTCGGAGCCGTAATCAGTCTCTTTTTTAGCTCTTGAAAAAAAATTTCATAATTATCTGACCATACAAATTTCACATTCTTCTGGGTTAGATGAGTCGGAGGGAGGGCTATATTTTAAAATCCTTCTACAAAGCGTCTATAATAACCTACTAACCCTAGAAAATTATGGATCTCTAACACATTTGTTGGTCTTCCCCACTTGAGTACGGCTTCAATCTTAGAAGGGTCAACCGCGACCCCATCCCTAGAAATAACATGCCCAAGGAAGGCCACACTAGGAAGCCATAACTCACTCTTGCTCAACGAGGCATACGACTTCTCCGACCTTAAAGCTTGAAGGGCTACTCTCAAGTACTGCTCATGTTTTTCTAGGCTCTTCGAATACACTAAAATATCATCAATAAATACCACAAAAAAAATCATCTAGAAAGGGTCTGAAAATTCCATTCATCGGATCTATGAAAATAGCTGGGGCATTAGTTAATCGAAACGATATTACTAAAAACTCATAGTGGCCATATCAGGTTCTGAACGCCGTCTTGGGAACATCCTCCTCCTTGACTCGCAATTGATGATAACCCAATCAAAGTTCAATCTTAGATAACACTTGGGCCCCTTGAAGCTGGTCAAAGGGGTCAACAATCCTAGGCAGGGGGGTACTTGTTCTTCACTGTTATTTGATTTAACTGCATATAGTCTATGTAGAGTCTCTTGGACCCATCCTTCGTTCTCACAAACAGAACCAGCGCACCCTAAGGTGATACACTGGGTCGGATGAATACTTTTTCTAACAACTCCTGCAATTGCGTTTTTTGCTCCTTGGAATTCTGCTGGGGCCATCCTATGAGGGGCTTTAAAGATGGGGGAAGTGGCAAGGACCACATCTATCTCAAACTCTATCTCTCTTACTGAATGCAAGTATGACAATTCCTCGAGAAAGACCTCTAGGTATTCTCTTACCACTGATATCTCTTCTAATTTGGACTGGACGTCCCGATTCTCTACTACGCAGGCTAAGTGTCCAACACATCTCTTAGCCAAAAGATGGTAAGCTTGAAGGGCCGAAATAAAATGTAGAGGGGGAACCTCCTTGATACCAACAAATTGCAACTCAAGTCGGTTACGGTGTCTAAGGGTAATAGTCTTATCATAACAGTCAACAGTGGCATGGTGTGTGGACAATCACTCCATGCCCAAAACAACATCAAAGTCTCATAAATCTAGAAGTATCAAGTCTATGGGCAGGACACACCCCTCAAGCAAAACCCCACATTGTTTGTATACCATGTTAGTTTTCATAGAATTCCCGATAGGTGTGCACACTACTAAAGTCCAATCAAGAAGTTAAGGTTTAACATTTAGATGACATGCAAAATAAGGTGCAACGAAAGAATGAGAGGAACTAGGGTCAATTAAATTCTAGCCTTTTTACCATGAACAAAGAGCTTATCTTGGATCACTGCAGTAGAAGCCTTTGCCTCCTGCTCCGTAAGTGCAAACACTTGACCCTGAGTCTTCGATCTATCCTCAGGCTTCATCATAGGGAAGTTCTTGATCAGGTGGTCAGCTTGTCACATCGATAACATTTCTCCAACTTCTTGTAGCGCTCAGTCGAAGAGTGATTATTCAATCCACAGTATGAGCAGGTCGGGCGCCAGTTATCACTCACATCGCCCAGGAAGGTCATTTGGATTTTCACATTACCCTGAGTAGGCCTTCCCCTAAAGTCTTTTCTAGGAGGCGGCCAAGTCTTACTCCCAAAACCACCAGACGGAGCAGACCTTACTCTCCCTTCCCTTCTCAATTGGAACTCTTCACAATCTCTCCCAATCTTCAGGGCTAAGTCAACTAATGGGGAGAATGTCTTAAGATTGACTGACATTTTTCTCCCTTGGATATCTAGCCTGAGGCCCCACTCAAACTTGCTCGCCTTACACGCTTTTGTATTGATGATAAGTGGTGCATAGCAGGAGAGCTCTGCAAATTTAGCTGCATACTGCACCACTGATAGTCTCCCGCACCGCAACTCAATGAGTTCCACTTCTTTCCTTTCTCGAATTGAATCAGGGAAGTACTTCTCATTAAATGCCACTAGAAAACTTTCCCAGGTTGCCACAATCCCTATCTCTTCCCAAGATTGCCTCACCGAACTCCACCAGTGCTCAGCATCCCCTTCTAACATAAAGGTCCCTAGTCTCACTTTCTGCTCATCAAAATAATGCAACACTTAAAAAATATTTTCTACTTGCCTCCTTCATTTTTCAGCCATTTCCACTCATCTATGTCTCTAGAATGCCGGAGGTACAAGTCTCCTAAACCTCTCAATCAATCCATTGTCATGTTGGTTTGGGGCAGAGGCAACCGGGACCGACATATAGTCCTTCATCATTTGAGTCATGGCCCCGAGTGTCTTGAAAGACTCCCCGAAGGCCTTTGTGTTCCCATTACTCAAGCTCGAGTTATTGGCACAAGTCCTCGTCATCTCAACCTATCACAGGAACACCAAGTTACTAGACTATCCAAAACCACCCTAAAGACACTTTTAACACTCTCTAAGCTAAGAATCTTATCCTGGTTGCTCTGATACTATAAATTGTCACAGCCGCAACTCCTGCCCCCTTGCCGTACTTGCCGGCCGGCCACAGGATGTGGTACCGTGACCAAAGGTAGCGAATGTCACTCAGGTGGGAGCGCGCTCGCTTTTGAAAAGAAAGAATCAAAGCAAATCATAAAAGAAAACAAAACTCCAAACACAACCATAAAAAATTGGGCAAACTAAAACCAATATATATTTATATATACAAGAGCTCCAAAGTTATTACAAATATGTCCAAGGCACTAAAGGCCCAACAACAAATACATAACACCAAAAAAAAACAACTATACAGCCAAACTGTCATCTAAAACCTACTATAAAAAAGAAGCTTCTTTGCCAATTTCGGGGCTCTAACAGTCAGCCGCGATTGCCTAACCGTTCGTCCTCAAACCGCGAGTTATCACTCTACATTGAAGAAAGTCAAAGGGATGAGCTATGAAGCCCAGTAAGTAGATCAAAACGTCATGCATTCCTGCCTATACACAGTTATTCGCAACCACCCCCAAGATTCTTGGAATCATGTATCACAGTTCTTTTTATTAACAATGTGTCATGAGTAATTTCTTTCATGGTAGAGCAAGCACAAATCAGATATTATATATCACATGAGCTAATAATTTATCAAATCTTTCCATTAAAACAACATATCAATTATTCAGGAAAATATATAATAACCATACGAAATCCTCAACCTATTTTCGAAGTAGAAGCTCTATCAATCTAGCCAAGTCAATCTCATTGCTTAGGACTTCTACCATTACTCAAGAGGGAAGACAATGACAAATGAATAAACCGTTTCGTAATGTCTTCACACATACACACAATCCTTAGTGCACTTTGAGGCTTTTGATAGGCAGTGGCCTTGTAAGACACGGCCCTCATTTGCTCTCTAGCTGGAGGGTGTTACACCACTAATGGATGACCCATTGCGTAGTACCACTTATACATCTATTGGGGGATGTGACCCACCCATATGACTCACATCCTAACTCCCTTCCTATCATCGGGAGTAAGGGAAAGATCTCAACTGCCAACACAACTTTATTATCATAGCATATCACATTCTTATCTTACCATATCATACTACCAATGGATAACCCATTACATAGTACTTCATATCACATATGTGAAATGTCTTATTACAACCATGCATATTCAATATTTCATAAGCATGTCTTATTACTACCATACACATTCAATATTTCATAGGCATGCCTTATTACAACCATACACATTCATCATTTCATAGGCATGTCTTACAACATACTTTATATCATAACATAGCCCATCTCATTGCCATGCATTCTTAGCTCTACAGAGCATACTTTAATGCACACATGTATGTCCAAAGTAAAACACAAATCAAAAGGCTCATTGAAAACATTTTCGAATTATTTTGCTGGTTTGAGAAGTGAACACAGCCACCTTGACGAGCATAACTTCCAAACCACATATAATTTTAGTATGATCCAAAAGCCATTTTTAAAGTAGAGTCACTCAACTTTCATGTAAAAGTTGTCTGAACTCATTCTGATATAATTTGGTTAGTGACCAATCTTACACAAAAGCACGTAATAGTGCTGGAAAAGTTCATGCATTCACAATAATGACATCTTCATAGTAAAAAGGACATAATTTCCAAACCACAACAAATTTCGTTTTGATTTAGATCTATATTTAAAATAAAATCACTCATCTTTCATTCAAAAGTAGTTTGAGCTCATTCTGAAATGATTTGGTCAGTAAACCGTTCAATATAAAAACATGTAATGTTTATGGAATTTCTTTTCACAATTCTGGCATATTCTAAAAAATAACTCATAACTGTCCAATCAAAAGAGATATTGATATGGGCTCTTTTCCCTCTTAAAATAGACTCAAATTGGTACTGCCCCACAAAATTTCATAATCAACAGAGGTAATTTCAATGCTCAAACAACGAAGGAGAGTCACAATCCTAGAAAAACAGAGTGCATACTTAACAAAATTTCGAAAGCATCTTTCCACAATAATATCCATATCCCTACTCAATTTTCATGCTTTTAAAAAATGATTTGAACATGGATCAAACAAGGCATGAAACATGGGATCTTAGATCTACTTACTTGCTCCAAAAGACTCCAAGTTTCTCCCCACTCAGGCCAAGCTTCCAAGAATAGTTTCCAATTTTCATGCTTTTAAAAAATGATTTGAACATGCATCAAACAAGGCATGAAACATGGGATCTTAGATCTACTTACTTGCTCCAAAAGACTCCAAGTTTCTCCCCACACAGGCCAAGCTTCCAAGAATAGTTTCAAGCTTGAGGTTCTTAATGTTTGAAAGGGAGGTCGTGGGTGAGAGAGAGCAAATTCTTGAGAGGGGTGTGAAGGGAGGCACTTATAAGCAAAGAGGGGGAGGCAGTAGGCAGGTGGCATGCAAGGGGCACACAAGTGGCATACAGTGGCATACATATGGCATATAAGTGCCACATGGCACTCATAAAAGAGCAAGCATAGAAGTTCCCTGGACTACCTTATACATTCACTCTCGACAGCAATGCTCACGACGGTGTCGTGCTAGGCGGCATCGCTCACGACAGTAATGCATACGACGGCTTCCTCCTTGGCAGCAACGCTCACGACAGTAACGTGCGTGGCTTCCTCCAAACCAGCAACAGTCATGGCGGTGTCACGCACGGTGGGGACGGGCACCGCGGTGCTGCACATAGCGGTTCCTTCGTCACACACAGCGGCTTCCTTGTCATGCACGGTGGGTTATTACACTTTTAGATCCGGTCTCCCGACTGACATCGCCTACCAATCTTGGATCTCTATTCCACGACCAAACCACTGTCTAGGAAGAGACCATCTCTATTTCACAACTAAACTACTGCCTAGAAAAAGAACTTCAAGAGCAATCGAGGCTCTCTCATTAAAAAAGAAAACCAACCAAAATCTCTATGAAACTACTATCCAGGAAAAGAACTTTGAGAACAACCCAGACTCTTTCCCTAAAAGGGAAAACCATTCAAAATCTCTATGAAAAATGTATCTCTAAAAAAAAAACAGCCTCTCACTCTATAGGAGGAACTAAAAGGGAAAGCCACCCAAAATCTCTATAGAAATTACATCTCTAACAAAAAAAAAAAAATAGGAAGGACCAATGAAGCCACCTCTCTATGTGAAAACTGCATCAATCATTATTACTTAATGATTGGGTAGACCATCAAAGTAAGAGTCATTCGTACTATCCCGAACTCCAACCTCCTTCCCTTCATCTTTCTCATCATAAATTGGGTGCATGAACAACAACCACTTCCCACTTTGTTTCTTGTTTCTCCTTAGTAGCTTTCTCATCATAAATTGGGTGCAGGAACAACAACCATCTCCCACTTTGTTTCTTGTTTCTCCTTGATAGCACATGCTAATCTTGGAGGGGAAGGGTTAACTTCCATGCCCAATACACATACACTAAATAGGAAACTTTTCATAGATGTGATATATATATATATATATATATATATATATATATCAAAACAATGAGATATAATCAAGAGTCATAAAATTTTTGGATTTCTATTTCCTTTAGAAAACCTATCAATATCAATCACGATCCCATGTAATATAATATTTCCTTGTTTTGGGTGATTTTGGATAATCATCATATGCAACTATCTCGATCTTGAATCACCCGCTCACAATGCCAACATCCATTGGATAACTTATGAATTCTTCATCTTTTGCCAAATAAATTCTTTCAACATTCTTGTTGGAAATATATTGCTTGCCATCATATTTCTTTACTTCAAATAAAATACTAGCATACTTTGCCATATGCATTTCTTCAACCAAATGCACAAATACTAGCTTTGTAGTGAATCATGCGCTCTGACACCACTTATTAGGATTTTATAGCCCTCTTAGATTCAAAAAAAAGAATGCCAACACCAAGAATATGTATTTATCTAGCTAGAAACAACGGTGAGCTTTCTATGCTTCCCCTATAGTATAAAACATATATACTTCCCCTTATCCAACTGTCCATATTGAATGGAGGGCTAAGATTGCCCCCAATCACAATGTCATGTCTATACATTATTTTATTTTTAATTTCTTTTCTATAAATTATTTTAATGTAAAATTTTGGACGTCCAATCCTCTATTAAACTCGCACTATCAAAAAATATATACAAAAAATATTTTCAATAAAATAAAATAACCAAAATACACCTAAAAATTTCAAGGGGTATTTTAGTCATTATATTTTATCAAAAAATTATTTTTAATATATTTTAAAGGTGCGAACCAATGAGAAGATGGCACAGTCCAATTTTTATATTCATACAATTTGTATAAAAAAAACTAAAACTAAAATACTCTGAGACTTCGAATCTCAGATAAAACGGTGAGTGGCTCTCTTGATCAAAATTGGAAGGTTGGATGGTAAGGAAAGCATATATCTTCTATGTTGTAGGGGAAGTATAGAAACCTTTCCCTAGAAAAAAGATAAGTGAGAGTACGAGCCATAATATGATAAATGAAACACAGAATACACACATCATAAGAACACAAAGATTTACGTGGTTCACCCCAAAAGGGCTACATCAATGGGCTTGGCAAGTAAAAATCTACCATACCAATTAAAGTCACATATTTTGGAGCAGTGAGTTGCCTATTTAATCATAGACAAAACCCAATCAGAAGTCACATATTTTTCAACAGAGAGTTACCTCTTTTGTCATTGACAAACCCCAGTTAAACAAACCTTTTAGACCCGATCTCCTAAATGGCATCGCCTACCGATCTCTAATCTCTATTAAATGACCACACCACTGTCTAGGAAGATACTTATCTCTATTTCGCAGCTAAACTAGTGGAAAAGAACTTTAAGAACAACCAAGTCTCTCTCACTAAAAGGGAAAACCACCCAAAACCTCCATGGGAACCGCTTTGCTACAAAAAACCAACCTCTGAGTTTGTAAGAGTACCATTGCAATGTTTCTCTTCATAGAAAGCCATTTTCTCTCTAAGAGGAGACCTTGCCTCTCATGACTCATGACTCATGCCTCTCTCTCTGTAGAAGAAGCCACATTTCTCATATAGCGACTCAAATAGGCCACACACATTCGTTCCCCTCTTATTTTATGTATATAGGATAAAAAATCCTCAATAAATAGGAAACTCCCCTTGATGTTACATATATCTAAAAAAACATGAGATATAACCAAGTGCCCTAATATTTTTGGATTTCAATTTACTTTAAAAAACTTATTAATATTAATTTCAATATCAATCACAATCCTACCTAATTTGATATTTCCTTGTTTTGGGTGTGGATATCACCATATCCAGCAATAATTGCATTGTTTGACCAAGTTTGGACGTGCACCTTAATTTGATTGTTAAAGGTTGTAACTTCATACAAACCACACCTAATAAATGTTATCATATTTTACTATTTCTTAGAAACCCTTTCAAAGTAATTTAGAAAGTGTGTGGTTTGTATAGAGCGGAAACTCTAATCAATCTAAGTAAATTGCACCTGCAAATAGTGTCGAGAAATGTGGTTTCAATGCTAGAAACCTTTGTGATAGCCTTAAAATATATTTTTATCTTTAATTATAAAATTTAAAGCTCCATAAATAGTGTAGATCGAGCAGATCTATGAAAACTTTAAAATCTTAAAAATTGACTGTTAAAAAATGAGTTACAAGGTGCATTATTTCCAAAACTTGAAATCCATTTTTTTTCTCACGTCCATGCATCTTGATGTCGAGATTATCAATTTGAAGATATTTGGGCATCAAAACAACCTCTTCTAATGAATTTTTTGAGGTGAGCTCTGATTTGATTGTTTAGAGCCTCGTCGGCTCTATATAAACTTTTTCCATTTAGAAATTATCTTTTTTTTTTGTTCTTCTTTGGTATTTTGTGAAATGCCCATGAGGTATAAGGAAATTAAAATTGGTATAACAGTTCATTACCTATAGTAAATTGAAACTTCATGTTTTTATTCAAGGAAAAAGTTTATAAAAAGTTGCAACCTTAAAATGTAGAATTACATATGCGCATCAAAAATCCATAGGAAAGGTCATTTTAATGTTGAAAAAACCTCTAATTGATTATCTCAATATTGAGATGTATGAATATGAAAAAATAATAATAATAATAAAATAAAATATTTTCAAGATTTCCATATGTTTATAAATACACTTGAGTCTCAAAAATAGTGCATCTTGCAATACATTATCTAGACTGTATATTTTCAAAATTTTCATTTGTTTATAGATACACTTGATTTTAATCATTTTTAGAGTTTAAAATTTTATAATTAAATATGAAAATAGATTTTGAGATAATCCTAAGAATATTTTTCACCAAAAGTACATGTTATGATAAAATTTGAAAGCGCAAATTAATTAAATATGAAAATAGATTTTGAGATAATCCTAAGAATATTTTTCACCAAAAGTACATATTATGATAAAATTTGAAGGCGCACCTTAATTGGATTGTTTAAAATTGCAACCTTATAGAAACCACACCGTTTATTCAATAGGACTCTAGTAGATGGGCCTCCAACTACCCATAGAGACACAGCCACATGCAAGTCTACCTTCTTCTTCTTCTTCTCTTTCTTCTCCTTCTCCTTCTTCTCCTTCTTCTCCTCCTTCTTCTTCTTCTTCTTTTTTTTTTAGCTCCATCTTTTTAATCAAATCCAAATATCCTTCACGTTTTTCTCTCAACCATTTTTGCCCATCATATACAAGGGATAAGGTTTATAGGAATCGGCTGACTCACCTATTTAAATGAGTCCTCTCTCCAAATCTATTTATAATAAATTTTGGATTCAAAATTTTAGGGAATCAAAATCTCAATCGCATAGGAACTTGAAAAAAAGAATTAGTTTTAAAAATAAATAAATAAATTTTCTTGTAGTTTAAACACAATTGATTTTAAATTTTTGTGGGGCTACCATTTCGTAACATCCATCTCCAGATGAATGCTATAGCAAAAATTGCATAAAACCCCCCAAAATGAACTTCGTAACCACTTTACCCAACCTAACTTTTCTTAGCAACTTTTCTCCCAAAACTATCTTTTCTAGTGAATAACCCCCCAACACAAAAAGTTCATTTTTTTTTTTTTTATAAAAATACCCTTCTCGTACATAACAAATCATTTTCGGTTCCCAATAAAGGGAACTCCGGACCGCACTTGTACAACACCGGACTGCTCATTTCAAAACGCGGATCCAATAAAAGGAACTCCAGACCGCACTTGTACAACGCCAGGCTGCTCATTTCAAAATGCCAGACTGCCACTTTAAACGCGGGACCGCTACTTTAAAACGCCGGATTGCCCCTTCAAAATATTGTACTGCCACTTCCAAATGACGGAGTGCAAAATATTGTACCGTCACTTCAAAATGCAAGACTACCCCTCCCCTCCAAAATGCGAGACAGCTTTTTCCAAACTCTGGACTGCTCATTTCTCCAGTAGCATAAAAACCTGGACTGCCCATTTCTCCAATAGCATAATCCCCAAACCGCCACAATGAAATGGCAGACCACCCATTCCAGCAAAATAATCGTCAGACCGCCTTTTCCAAATACTGAACCGCCTACTCTAGCGAAAATGATTTGTTATGTAATGGAAGGGTATTTTTGTAAAAAAAAATGAACTTTTTTGTATTTGGAAAATATCTCGATATCTCCTATTTTTAG